CTATATACACCACCTTCACTTCCTCTTATCGATAGTTATTGAAGTTTGGTGAATGGTACAGAGTCCCCTGGCGTTGAGGCTTGGCAGAGTGGGCAGAGTCTTCCAGGACAGACTCATTGATGGAGTTCACAGCTCCACGGTACCCCAGCCACAGTTCCTGTGAACCCCATGCCATCCCTACTGCCTGTCCTGGCAGTAGTCCCGGAGCTGGAAGGGACCACTGAGTTCACCAATAAGGACAAGAGGCCTGAAGAAGTGGTGACCGGTGCAAGATGGTGAGGCCCAAGCCTCCAGCTCTCCGAAGGCTGGCCTGAAGACAGACAGCCTGTGGCCTCATGGCACCCCGGAAAGGGGCCCGGACTCCAGCGTCCTCCCACACTGTACATGTCGTGGGAACCCCCAATCTCTTAGTCTCAATACCAATATTTTGTTTTCTTATCTAAGCAGGTCACTTTTAAGATGTATGTACCCTTCAAACCCAACTATTTTCATTATAAATATAACTTCAGGAAATACATCAGGAGCACAAAAATACATGCACAAGGATAGTCATTACAACTGTATCATAAGACCAAGGCCTATACACTGTCCAAATAACCAAAATATTGTGAATTGCACTGTAAATGATGGTGTATCCGCACAGTGGGATACAGTGGTTATAAACGATGTTGTGTAGCCCTGGCCAGTGGTCAGAGTAGCAGCCCAAGCACCTAAGTGTCGAAGGTTCCATTTCCAGGCAAGAGCACTGCCTGGGTTTCGGGTTCACCCCCCATCCCTTGGTCTCCCCTGGTTGGGGACAGTGCAGGAGGCAATCAGTCTATGTCTTTCACATCAATCTTTCTCTCTCTCTCTGTCCCTCTCTCCCTTCCACTCTGAGAAGCAATGGGGGAAATATCCTCTGGTGAGGATTAAAAAATCAAACAAACAAAAAGTCGCTTTTGCCTAAGCCAGTTTGGCTCAGTGGATAGAGCCCCGCATACCTGTCAATCCAAAGAGGTCCTCAGTCCCCCGTAAAACGTCAGTGCTGGAAGGCCAGCGATTTTTGACCTTTTTCATCTCACGGCACACAAAAACGAATGACTAAAATTCTGTAGTACACCAAAAACATATTTTTTGTCAAGCAGGTATATTTTTTATTCATACGTGGTTATTGTTGTGTTGGCTGTTATCATTTTTTTTTTTAAATTTGGCAATTTAAGGGAAAAGAGTTCAGTGCTCCTGACTAGTCAAGTTATTGCATATTTAAAAAATTCTTGCAGCACATTGGTTGAAAGTTGCTAATAATAGCCCAACACTGCCATTGAGGGAGATAACCAAGGCTTGGATTGAAGTGACTTGGCAAATCACACAGTGAGTTGGTGGTGGGCCCAGGTCAGATAGGCCTAGGAATCCTGGCATTGAATCCTTTAAAAAATATATATATATTTTATTTTAAAAATATTTTTTATTGATTTCAGAGAGGAAGGGATAGGGAGAGGTAAATAGAAACATCAGTGATAAGAATCATTGATTGGCTGCCTCCTGCACCCCCCCTCCCCGCCCCACACACACTGGAGATCGAGCCTGCAATCTGGGTATGTGCCCTGAGCAGGAATCAAACTGTGACCTCCTGATTCATAGGCAGACGCTCAACCAGAGCCACTGACTGGGCTGGCATTGAAGCCTTTACATCTGCCTCTCACAGGCCTCATGGGTCCAAGACCAGAGGACAGAGGCTTCTTCCCACCCAGCAACCACAAGAAGCTCCCCCAGAGGGTAAGATTCAGTGAGCAATCTCTTGGCAAGAACATCATCCACATATCTCATGCCACTGTCAGCGGCCCAAGGAAGTGCCTCAATATCTGACACCGTCGGGGCTTTAAGGGGAGGGAAGGGGGATGAGGGAGGCTGCGGGAGCATCACTGTGCAGTTCCAACATGGCAGTGGCTGCACCAGAAAACACCTGCTGCTGTTTTGAAGGCACTTCCCTCCAGCCTCCTTCTGCATCCTGTTTTTCCGGAGCCCTGGAGGACCTGGGTGTGTGGAGGGGGACAGGACCATGGAGACCTGCCTGCCACCAAGGGATGTGGGCCCTGCCCTTTGGTTTCTGTACTCTAAGCCTAGGCTGAGATCATGTGCACAGTTCTGGGAAAAGGTGAATATCCAATCCTATCTGCTTCCCCACTCCTAACTCGGGACCAAGTAGCTTCCCGTGGCCCCCTTTGTTCTCCCAAAGGGAGCAAAGCAGGAGCCAGGAAGGAAGAGGCAGGACTGTGCTGTACTGTCAGTCTGGAAAGGCCCTAGAACGGGGGACTGGGAGGCCAGAGGGACTTCACGTCAGCATCTGCTGTAGCAAAGGTGGACAGCAAGTAGGAGTTTCCAGAGCCAAGCCCGCTTTTTCCTTTGACATCCATAGTGCAACCTTCCCCTTCCACCCTTTTGTCCGAGGGGACTGGGGTGGGGCCTTCTTTCCAGCTCTCCACCCTTACACCCTACCCAGTGCTGGGAGTGTCGGCTGGGTGGGGTCCTCAGTGTTGACTGGAAGTGAACCAGGTGTCAGGCACCTGCGACAGAGCACACAGAGGCTGGCTGGGCCACCCAAGCTCGGGGAGTTCATGGGAAATTTGTGTTTTGGTTCCGGGACTGATTCAGAGTCCAACAGTGTTTATTGAACACTTAGGGGTGGTGTGAGGAATGAGCTCTCTGTGACCATGGCTTTTCCCCCGCCAGGTAAGTGTTGGGATGAGTTCTTTGGCTTCCTGCAGCCGCTTTGAAGCAGAGGATGTGGTCCAGGGAGCCTGGCAGCACCGACTCAGGCCCTCTCACCATCCCAAGGACGGACTTGGTGGCCCATCCACACCATCTCTTGCCACCCTCTCTGCCCCTGCTTGGGAAGCTGTGAAATCACAGCAGCTTAGAGCCCCTCGGGAGATTTGGAAACGGAAAAGTATTCTTTTACCTGCAGTTTCATTTTCCACTTGCCTGTGTGGCTATTCACCTTGCAAACACAATTAAAATCAATAAAAACCAGGAAACGGAGGCTCCCAAGACATTGACGTAGAAGACCCAGCCCAGTTATTGTGTAATAAGTGACATCTTCATCCTGGTACTCCTGGCTTTCCAGGGTCCCCTCTGAAGCTCCTGAGTCCCTTTCAGGTTGAGTGGCCCCTGGCTCCACCAAATCAGGGGGAAAGTGGCTGCTTGTGAGCTTAACACGGTGAGCCACCTCCTCCAGGAGCATTTCTGTTGGAGGCCTCTGGGCACCAGAGCTGGAGGGAGAGTTGTGTTTGTTTTATTTTGTATATATTTTTATTGATTTTGGAGAGAGAGAAGGAAACATCAACGATGAGAATCATTGATGGCTGCCTCCTGCATACCCCACACTGAGGATGGAACCTGCTACCCGGGCATGCGCCCCGACCAGGAATCAAACCGAGACCTCCTGGTTCATAGGTCAGCGCTCAACCACTGAGCCATGCTGGCTGGGCTGGAAGGAGTTTTTGTTGTTGTTGTTGTTTTTAAATATATTTTATTGATTTTGTACAGAGAGGAAGCGAGAGAGATAGTTAGAAACATCGATCAGCTGCCTCTTGCACACCCCCTACTGGGGATATGCCCGCAACCAAGGTACATGCCTTTGACCAGAATCGAACCCGGGACTTTTCAGTCCCCAAGCCGACGCTCTATCCATTGAGCCAAACCGGTCTCGGCATGGAAGGAGAGTTTTGATAGAAGGCAGCGGGCAAGTCTGGCCCTAGAGCTAAACAGGACTAAAGCAGGCGTAGTGGGAGATGTGACTACTGAGTGTGTGCTTGTATGGTGTGTAGGTGGAAGTCTCGGATTCTACCCTCCTCCAGAGATGACATAGAAAAGTAGTGTGTGCCCGTCAGTGAGGCTCAGTGGTTGAACACTGACCCATGCACCAAGGGGTCAGAGCACAGGCCCAGGTTATGGGCTCAGTCGCCAGTAGGGGCCATGTAGGAGGCAGCCCATCATTGTTTCTCCCTCGTTGCCGTTTCTCTCTCTCTCCCTCCCTCTCCCTTTGTCTCTATCTAAAATCAATAAAAACATACATATTTTTTAAAAGCTCTAAAAAAAAAAAAAAAAAAAAAGTTAGTGCGTGACCTGAGCAAATTATCTGATTTCTCCATTTCCTTAGCTGTAAAAGTATCACATGAATTTGGCTTACTGTAAGAGAGCATTAATGTTATTTTTTAACATTCAATGAAATTATATTTGATGCACAAAATATGTGGCTTTCAAAATCTTGGAACTTCCCCTTTGTCAAAGGATAAACCCACGCCCTTTCTTCCTTGAACAGAGGCAGAAATTATGACAGTAGCCTGGCACTACAAGCAGTATTTATTACCCAAAGCAGTCTGAGGAATTCCAGGTCACAGCTTTACATGTCGTGAGAAAACCAGAACCCCTTCGAAGTCACCCTCCACCCCCATCTGGAGTGAGGGCTTAATGGCTTCAATCCAAGTTAAGTCACAGCTACTATAGCCTCATTCCTGACTAATAATCTTAAAGTCACGAATGGGCATAATGGGATTGACTCTTACACAGTAAACTTAAAATAAGGTCACAATTTTAGAGAGATTATTCAGACAGAAAGACATCAAGAGTCTTAACTGGCTATGAGAAGGGGACGGTTTTGTTCATAGTTAATAGAATTACATGGAATTGTAAAATAATCCTGTGTGAGTTTGAGCCTGGAAGGGGATGCTGTTCCTGTGGTGCACAAAGGCATGATTTAAGGTCTCCCATGAGGACCCCCTGTGACTCTCAGGTAGGCATTGCCCCGTTGCCTGTGACAACGAAGCCAGCAATGGCTGGGATTGGGGGGTTAGGAAGGTGGCTATTCACCTTGCAAACACAATTCTCAGGGTTGAAAAAAAGGCAGGCTTCAGTGTTGAGAAGTTCCCTGACTGTTTCTACATTTGAGGAATACAAGTTGGTCTGATCTCATGTGGGGTTTGGGGTTCATTTGTTTGATTGGTTTTATAATTACCCTTGACTCAGCAAAAACAGATCATTCTGAGTTTTTAAGACATAACACCCGTTCTGTTTAAGGCTCTCTGCTTGTAATGAATTATTTTAATCACCCTTACTACTTAAGAGAAACTTTTGCCTTCAAGCCCACCCTTGCCTAGCCATTTAGCCCTGAGATGCTAAGAGGGTGGGAATGAGGGCAGAGCCCAAATAACATCAGGGATTCTGATCGTTGGGGTCACACTTGATCATGACTTTCAATCCCAAACCCTTTTTGGATGTTTCAAAGGCCTCCAGTGCCTTCTCCAGAGGAAACCTATGGGTCACTAAAGACTTTACATTCACAGCCTTGGATGCAAGCATTGAAATCGCCATCGGCCATCTGTGAAAAAATCACAAACATCACATTCAGCCTTCAGGAGCAAAGAGCCAGGCCCGCAAATGTACCAAGCACATCAATTTGGCCATAATCACTGACAGCACTATGGTTCTGCCAGGTCAATTCTACAGACAAAAAAATGGAGGGAATGATTTTAGAACTTATAATTTGGGAGTTCAGAGGCTGTTTCCAAATGTCCACTGACCCCTCTGCAATGTCCACCGTGAAGCCTAGAATTCTTTTGGCATGAAGGCCTGAGGCATATGGAGGCCGCTGTGAAAAGGCAGATAAGCTGTAGGGAGGCAGGCAGGCCAGGGTAATCCAATCACACCCCCGAGCAGCTCACCTTGAGAGAACTTACTGGCACTCTGGTGAGGGAATGGTTAAACTCTAAAAGTGTGAATAAGGGACACTGTGGGGATTATGGTCCTAGACAGAGCTCCCCAAGGGAGAGAGAGTGAGGCCACAGAATGTGGGCTGAGGCACATTAAGACCCTCTCACTTCCCAGAGTGGGCCCTGGGGCTCTGGAGTAGGAGGCAAGGAACTTGAAGAGCTCGTCATGAATAAATAGGCAGAGACTCAGTCCCAGAGGCCTACCCTGGTCTTGTAGGCCACTCGCCACCCCACTCACCCACAGCATACTCACGTGTTGCAGTATCGAAACACGCCCTTGATATCCACTTCTCGGATGGCTGCCTGAACGAGGGGCACATTGATCATCTCAGCACCCAGTCCCACAAGCATCAGGGTCCCACCAGAACAAGTGGCCTGAAGAGGAAGAACAAGAGAACCTGAAAGATAAGAAAATACAGACTTCCTGCTCATACCGTTTCCTTTAAAATAAGACAGTGTCTTATATTAATTTTTGCTCCCAGAGATGTGCTAGGTCTTATTTTCAGGGGATGTCTTATTTTTCCATGAAGAAGAATACGGTACACATTTATTGTTAAATGAAAATAAAAGAAATTTATTACCTGTATACGGTACGGTAGTACGGTAGTTGTCAACACAAACCAGACAAACTGTGAATCCTACAGTATCAAGAATTTACTTATTTATTCAATGAAAATCATGTCATCATCTTCTGGAACATCATCAGAACAATCTAATTCCTGAATTTCCTGGTGAATTTCTTGTGACTCCATTTCTTTCAGAATCAGTGGACCAAATCTCTCATGTTTAGCAATAGCATTCTTAGACAGAGCCTAAGGGGGGCCTTATTTTCGGGGGGATGCCTTATATTTCACTCAGAAGGAAACCTGTAAGTAGGTCTTATTTTCAGAGGATGTCTTATTTTCGGGGAAACACGGTAGCAGTGTTACAGATATCTTCTGATTGCATCAGGCGAGTATCCAGAAATTCCAGGAATGATTCTTTTTATACTGCTGAACTCTTTAACATGGAGACCAAACTCAACAGAGCAGCCGAGTAAATATTATCTTCCTTAAAGATCCTGAAATAATACACTCCACCACGGGAGGACAAGCAAATTGGGAGCATCTTTCGCTGCCCACAACATCCAGTGACATAGCCAAGGTCCTCCAGACTCCAGTGAGAATCTCCCCTACAAACATTGATCTTCAGCAATCCTGGCACGTCTTTCAATGCTTTACTAACTCATACCAGATGTTGGCTCCAGCTACTTCCTCATTTCAGCACCTGCTCCTCCTCCAGTGGGAACACCCATAGGACAGGACATTTGTCAGACCTCTAAGGAACCACCCTCTTGTGGGGAAAACTATTGGTAAGCACTATAGAAACGAAGTTTGTGGTTTAAAAACTATCTCATACATGCAAGCTGGCATCCTATCTAATAAAAGAGTAATATGCAGATTGACCACCATTCCAACACACAATATGGCTGCCCCCATGTAGTCAAAGATCCTGCCCCTATGTGGATACAAGATGGCCACCACAAGATGGCCAGCAGGGGAGGGCAGTTGGGAGGGAACAGGCCTGCAAGGGAGGGCAATTGTGGGTGATCAGGCAAGTAGGGGAGGGCAGTTGGGAGGCACCAGGCCTGCAAGGGAGGGCAATAGAAGGCAATCAACCCTGCAGGGGAGGGCAGTTAGGGGTAAGGGCAGTTAGGCAGTTTGGCAGAGGAGGGAAGTTGGGGGCAAACAGGCTGGCAGGGGAGCAGTTAGACCTATCAATCAGGCTGGCATGGGAGTGGTTAGGGGGTGATCAGGATGGCAGGCAGAAGTGGTTAGGGGCAATCAGGAAGGCAGGCAGCCAGCAATAGTTGGCAGCCAGCAATCCTGGATTGTGAGAGGGATGTCTGACTGCTGGGCAGTCAGACATCCCTCAAGGAGTCCCAGATTGGAGAGACTGCAGGCTGGGCTAAGGGACAACTCCTTTCCCCTCACCCCTGCCCCGGTGCACAAATTTTGTGCACCAGGCCTTTAGTTTATAAATATCTCTATTCTAGAAATATTCATCCTGATAGTATTGGCCATAATGGATTTTGTCGTCATTGAACATCTATCTGCCTCATCAGTTCCTGCCAGAGAGTGCAGTTTCTCTTGACAATCTCCACATAGCTCCTGTGTTGTGCCTGCTCCAGAGAAGCAGGAAAATGCTGCTGTACCCACTGGAAAAGTGGGGTCGAGAAGTCAAAGATGTGAGTGAGCCACAGAAAACTGAGAAATGTTCTAAGAAAACTGCTTCCCCCACTGGTGTTTCCTCTCCAACTTGTGAGGAGGGAGAACACCTTCACACTGGCCACCCCAAACAGCCACCAGGTAGCCCAGGCGAATGCTCTGTTCCCTGGGTGCGACCTCTGCATGGAGGAGATGACATCAATTCTACCCTAAGCATTTGCCACTTCTCCTCACGAACATGACCTAGTCATGACGGGCAGGAAAAGAACTCTCAGGTATGCCCATACAAGGTGCCTCTGCCTAAGCTGCCTGCTGATGGGGCAGCCTGTAGCATTCTACAGCTCCCGTCATGCATGATGGCTCCACCTCCACTCAGGAGAGGCACAGGCCTCAGGCCTCGTGAGGCTCTTGGGTCACATTTACCTCCACACTCACCTCAGGTAGGCTGGTAACTGGGCCCCCACTGTTAACAGCTGGAGATGCCAGCTGTTTCTATAGGCTCCTCAGGCAGGAGAAAAGAGGAAGGAAAGCCTCGAGTTGAGAAGCCATGTCTTTTACTGCATCTCTGTGCATTGGGGGATTGTGGTGTGTGTGTGTGTGTGTGTGTGTGTGTGTGTGTGTGTGTGTGTGTGAGTACAGTGTGCCTGATCTGCCAGCAACTTGAAGACAACAGACTTACCTCACACATTGTCACAGACCTCGAAGTGCCCAAGCCATGTCATGAACTGACTGATCATACCCATCACCTCTCTGAGTTTTAGTTTCTCTTGGTCCCAGAGGGTGCCATCTATTCCTTCCTCCTGTCACCATTAAATTTATCCCTGATGCTATGGGCATCTTGGTAGGGGGAGGGCTTGGCAGCTCTGCCAGGTACCAGGCCGGAGGGCCATGCCACACTCACCTCAGGGGTCAGCTTTCCCTGGGGTGTTTGCGGGATCCAAAGTGCCCTTGTGTGTGACCCAGCTATGACTCAGAAGGAAGGAGGAAGCCCAGCTGCTGCGGGGAAGCAGTCTGGAAGGCGGGGCAGCAGTCCCAGTGGTGGCAGGTGCAGCCGGCACTCTCCCCAGCCCCAGCCCCACCCCTCCTACCGTAGCAGGATTGCCCTTTTTCTTTCCCTCCCCCTCCTGAGCTGTGCACAGAGCAAGGAAAGCACAGGCATTGGGGAAGTGTGCTCCAGGCAAGCACACAATGGACCTCTCATTGTAAAACGGTGACTCATTTCACGGCTTCTGTGCAGATGGGGCTATCACAATTATAAAACACCTAGCAGAGGACCTGGTACACGGTGAGGCTTGGAGCCTGGAACGTATTCTTTCTCTCCTCTCTTCCTCATACTTTGACTGTCAATGCAACTTGCCCTCTCCACCTCCCTGCCAACTTCTCATAAATCACAGGTAAGCCCATGAGGGACCTATCAGGTACTGACAGCTTATCCCCTCCTAATTCTGGGAGAGGACAACAGTAGCCGACCCTGGCCCTGAAAACTTACCTTTGTGGTTAACTGAACTACTGGCTGTGCCTTTCTTTAAATGACTTAAAGACCACAGTTTTTCTCAATAAAACAGGATAAGGGTTTCCCACACTTAAGACATGCTTCCCCATACCTCCTATGGATCCTTTATCAAGAGCTCAACTTTTATGATCACAGATATGGTCGGGACAGAAAACCCATCCTAAACGTGTGGGTCACTTATCTTTCAAGGACCGTGTATATTTGTTACCTTGTTTAACCCTCACAAATGTCCAATAAGAATGTTAGGCAAGTGCTGTTATCTCCTCAAGAGAGATCACTTAATTTTGATGGGGGACCACAGAGCACGTCAGTGGAGAAGCTGACTTCTCGGTTCACTACCCCCATGGGTTCCCAGCCCTGCCCACACCCCACTCACGTAGATGCCGGCCTGGATGGCGGACTCCGCCCCCGTGCACTCGATGGTGATGTCCGGCTTGCACCCCAGCAGACCCTCCACTTTGCTGGCGATTTCCTGCGGGCTCTCCTTGGTGATCTGGAGGACAAAGTCAGCCCCAACTTCCTTGGCTTTAGACAACCGAGAGGCAGACAGATCTAAAGTTGAAAAAAGGTTTCCTTCAAACTGAGAAACTGGATGGTGGATTAGGGAGAAAATAAAAACGGAGGGGTACCCTGGCTCGGTTGGTTGAGTGCAGTCCCGTGCCCTGGGCTCCATCCCAGTAGAGGCGTGCAGGAGGCAGCCAATTGATGTTTCTCTCCCTCTTTCTCTAAAAGCAGTAAAAACATATATTATATATTTTTTTAAATGGAGGTGCAGGTAATAATTCCAATGAAGCTCTGGTATAGTGGATGGTGTTGCTGAGCCCAACAAACATACTGTCTAAACCACATGTGTCAAACACAAGGCCCGCGGGCCAAATCCGTCCCGCCAGGCCTTGCAATGTGGCCTGCACCGCGCTGTCATCACTGCACTCTGCTGTGTTTCCATCACAATGACAGTTTATGACTGTTCAGTAAACCATGCGGCTCGCGATTTAGGCTGGATTTTAGATTTTGGCCCCTTCTCTGATTGAGTTCGACACCCCTAGAACCTTCACACACTCCCATACAAACACATATCTACTTACACGCATACAGACTGCCTTCAAACATACACACACTTTCACAGATACCTTCAATACACTGATAGCTTCTCCTCACACCCTTCTGCATTCCCACTACCCTACTCATCCACACATCTGCACACCACACAACTCTACACTAATCCACACATACTCAGTAATAACATCTTCTCACTCATATGCGTACTCTCAGATACCTTACACACACACAAATATTCTCCCTAACAGATGCCTTCTCCACATACACACCCTTTGATACCCCATGTGCTTCCAAACATACTCACACATGCTGTTGGATACCCTCACCTCACACATATACCCTCATATCTCTCACTCATAGTACACACCTCACACACAAACATCCTTATAAATATACTAGAGGCCCGATGCATGAAGATTTGTGCAAGAATGGGCCTTTCTTTCCGTAGCTGCTGGCACCGCCTTTCCACTCCAGCCCCACCTTCCCTTGCTGCCCAGAGGCCCTGTCGGGGCAGTGTAGAAGGCCTGCATCGTCATCATGGCCCCACCCATGGCCATCTGCATATGCAAATTAACCCACCATATTTGTTGAGTTAATTTGCATACTCACTCCTGACTGGCTGGTGGGCATCACAAATGTATGGTCAATTTGCATCTTGATCTTTTATTAGTGTAGAGCACATGTGTCAAACACAAGGCCCGCGGGCCAAATCCGTCCCGCCAGGCCTTGCAATGTGGCCCGCACCGCGCTGTCATCACTGCACTCCGCTGCGTTTCCATCACAATGACAGTTTATGACTGTTCAGTAAACCATTCGGCCCGCGATTTAGGCTGGATTTTAGATTTTGGCTCCTTCTCTGATTGAGTTCGACACCCCTAGTGTAGAGTATACTTCCCTCTAACCTCACATCACATACATACATACATACAAACAAACACACCCTCTGTTTCCTGGGCTTAGGCAAATGAACCAAGGGCTGAGCCTCATTTTAGGACTCAGTAGGCAGTATGGGCATCTCAGGTTCATAAATAAAGAGCCAGGTCGCCTTCTCCCAGCAGCTTCAAAGAAGAGTGTCCTCCTGAGCTCTGACTTGGTCACCCCCTGAGTTGCTTCTCAAGCTTGGAACCCAGAGAAAAGGGGAGAAACCCCTTTAGAAACCCAGTACCCCCTGAAGGTAACAGGTCTTATGCTTCTGCCTCAATCTATAGGCCCAACTGTTTGCCGCTCAAGAATATTTTTAAAAAGAAAACCTTACCAGTCACCACCACCTGAGCTGCACCCATTGCCTTGGCCACCAGCAAATTGACCAATCCAATTGGCCCTAAATAAAGGAGGAAATGGAAGATATTTATGAAATATGAAGCATCAGTTCTTCCCCCTGTATAGGCCACAAACAACAGCCAGATCTTTTGTATACCCCTAGCATCTATCCTAGTGCCTGACACATAGTGAGATCTTAACAGCAGTTTACTGAATGCATGAGTAAATAAGTACATGAGGGATTGCTTGCTCATAGGGCTGGATTCTGCTTGGTACTCTGCTAAACAGAGTTATAAACCTCCCACTTACTCTTTTGTACTGTGTGAAGATAATGTCAAAGAACCAGAGGGTTCAAGAAAGCATATATTTTCTTAGAGGTTATCTCAGAAGGTCTGGATACATTTTCCTGTTTTCTCTTTGATCCCTACCATCTTAGAACCCACCACACCTGCCCAAGGAGAGACATATTGTTTTGTGTGCCCTCCGAGGACCAGCCTGGAGTATCCTTAAGTGAGTTCGCTCCCTGAGTGGATGCAGCTGTTCAGGCAGCCTCAGGATGTGCAGGTGACTAAGAATCAGCCTGGAGACGTGCTTCCCCACAGTATCTACCTGCTAGATGGCATGATAGTTTTAATACAAAATCCCACAAATATAAGGCTTTTCAGAAAATCTTTGGGGATTTTTTTTGGACACTCCCCTGGAAAATAATTTTGTGAGTTCATCTAGAAAGCAAAACACTGGGAAGTACCTGAAATGACCAGCAAAGGGATTAATTAGTTAAATAAACTACCGTGGGGTACCACACAGTTAATTAAAAAATTAAGTCATAACTCTTTTATATCTGACATTAAAAAATGTTAATATATTTTTTAAAAAGAGTAGGTTTAAAAAAAAAAAAGCATATTTAACATGATCCCATTGAAAAGACAAGAAAAGAAGAGAAAAGAAAGGCTCTACACCAAAATGTTAATAGTGATTCTCTTGGGCTGATGGGTCTATTGATAAATTTCTGTGAATGCCATGTGGTATGTATGACTTGTCTTTTTTTCCCTTTAATTCTCTCCTGAGGACATGTTTAGAGAGAGAGGGTGAGAGAGAGAAAGAAATGATTGGTTGCCCTCCATATATGCCCCAACCAGGGGTTGAACCAGGTATGTGCTCTGACTGAGAATTAAACTGGCAACTTTTGATGTACAGGATAAGGTTCCAAATCAACATGAGCCACTCCAGCTGTGCAGACTTCTTTTCTGCCTATGACAAAAAGGTACCGTATTTTAAAAATCTGTCACCTGAATCCGACGGCCTGCTCGCATACTGAGGCAAGTCTACTCTATACCCATCACTCTACTTAGGAAGCCCTGTGGTCACTTTTTTGGCTCTGCCAAAGAAAAATCAGTTCCCAGCTGGTGTGGCTCAGTGGTTGAGCATCGACATATGAACCAGGTCATGGTTAGATTCCCGGTTGGGGCACATGTCTGGGTTTCAGGCTTGGTCCCAGTTTGGGGGGTGCAGGAGGCAGCTGATGAATGATTCTCTCTCAACATTGATGCTTCTATCTCTTTCTCCCCCTCCCTTTCTCTCTGAAATGAATATATTTTAAAAAAGAAAAGAAAAACCATTCACAAAATTGTATGAGGATTAAAACTCCTAGAAGGAAATATAAGTAGTAAGCTCCTTGACATCAGTCTTGGTAAAGATTTTTTTTTTTGGACTTGATGCCAAAAGCAAAGGCAATAAAAGCAAAAATAAATAGGTAGGACTATATCAAACTAAAAAGCTTCTACAAGCAAAAGAAACCATCAATAATGAAAAAGGCAATCTACCAAATAGGAGAAAATATTTGCAAACGGCATATGTGTTAAGGGGTTAATATCCAAAAGATATAAAGAACTCATACAACTCAATAACATAAATAAATAAATAATTCCATTATTTCCTGGTCAAGGGCACATACCTGGGTTTAGGTTCAATCCCTGGCCTGGGAATGTATGGGAGGCAACCAATTAATGTGTCTCTCTCGCATCAGTCTATCTGTCTCTCTCTGTCCCCCCACTACTTCCCTTCCCATCTCCCTAAAAATCAACAGAAAAAAATTTCCTCAAGTGAGGATAAACAATAACAACAAAAAGTGGGCAGAAGATCTGAATAAACATTTCTTCAAAGAAGACATACAAGTGGCCAACAGGTACATGGAAGAAGGTGTTTAACATCACTAATTATTAGGGAAATGCAAATAATAAAATAAAATAAAAATAAGCTATCACCTCAGACCTGTTACAAAGGCTGCCATTGTAAAAAACAGAAATAGCAGGTGCTGGGAAGATGTGGGAAAAGGGAATCCTCGTACACTGTCGGTGGTATTGTAGATTGGTGTAGCCACTATGGAAAACAGTATGGAAGTTCCTTAAAAAAATTAAAAACACAACTAATTAAGTGATCCAGCGATTCCACTTCTGAGTATTTATCTGAAGAGAAAAGAAAAACACTAACTCAAAAGATGTGTGTGCCACATGTTCACTGCAGCTTTGTTTACAATAGCCAAGACATCGAAACGACTTAAGTGTCCATCGATGGATGAACGGATAAAGACGATGTGGTATATATACAATGAAATATTACTCAGTCATAAAAAGAAGGAAATCTTGCTATTTGTGACAACATGGATGGCCTTTGAGGGCATTATGCTAAGTAAAATAAGTCAGACAGAGAAAAACAAATACCATATGGAGAAAGATAAATACCAGCCGAAACCGGTTTGGCTCAGTGGTAGAGCGTCGGTCTGCGGACTGAAAGGTCCCAGGTTCGATTCCGGGCAAGGGCATGTACCTGGGTTGCGGGCACATCCCCAGTAGGGGGTGTGCAAGAGGCAGCTGGTTGATGCTTCTCCCTCATTGACGTTTCTAGCTCTCTATCTCTCTCCCTTCCTCTCTGTAAAAAATCAATAAAATATATTAAAAAAAAAGAAAAAAGAAAAGAAAGAAAGATAAATACCATGATTTTGCCTTTATGTGGACTCTAATACAAACAAAAAATCCCAAGCTAAAAGATACAGAGAACAGACTGGTTGTTAGAGGAAGGGGGTAAGAGGGCCAGTGAGATGGGTAAAAGGGGTCAAAAAGTACAACCTTCCAGTTATAAATCAGTCATGCGTTTATAATGTGTAGCATGGTGACTATAGTTAATGAGACTGAATTGCATATTTTAAAGTTGCTAAAAGAATCAATCTTAAAAGTTCTCATCCCAAGTAAAGGAAACTTGGTAACCATCTAGTGACAGATGTTAACTAGACTTATTGTGGTCATCATTTTGCAATACTGTTGACCCTTGAACAACAAAGGTTTGAACCACACAGGTCCAACTTATATGTGGATTTTTTTTCAATAAACACCTACAGTACTATAAATGTGTTTTCTCTACCTTATGATTTTTATTAGATTTGCTTTTCTCTAGTTTACTTTATTGTAATACATATAGCATGCAAAATATGCTTTAATAGACTGTTTACGTTATCGGTGAAGCTTCCAGTCAACCGTAAGCTATTAGTAAAGTTCTTGAGAGTCAAAACTTATATATGGATTTTCAACCATATAGGAGTGGGTGTCCCTAACCCCAGTGTCGTTCACAAATCATCTGAATATGCAAGTATCAAATAATTAGGTTGTACACCTAAACTAATGTTATATGTCAATTATACACCCTTGCTCCCAAAGTGTATGAGCAACACCAGGTCATACCCATGAGGAGTGAGCATGCTGAGTCATGGCAGTGAGAAGTCTAGAATGGATCTGCCTGAGGCTGCTAGGGTTTGTTTGGGTGGAGGAGAGAAGGCAGCTTCCCAGTGCAAGCAGAGTGCTGGCTCACAGCCGGGCTGGGCTCTGCTCCTTTCCCTGGCGGTGAGCAGGCCCACCTCACTCCTGGATGGACCGGAGGCCGCTTTTCTGGTATGATTTGGAAGTTCCAAAGTAGTTCTTCCCTTTACTCTCAAAAATATTTCCCTAGCCTTAGCCGGTTTGGCTCAGTGAATAGAGTGTCGGCCTGCGGACTGAAGGGTCCCAGGCTCAGTTCCGATCAAGGGCATGTACCTAGGTTGCAGGTTCGGTCCCTGGGCCTGGATGGAGTGCATGCAGGAGGCAACCGAACAATATGACTCTCATGATTGATGTTTCTCTCTCTCTCTCTCCCTCTCCTTCCTTTCTGAAATCAATAAAACTATTTCCCTAGTTTCCTGTCAAGGTTTGAAATGTAATCCCAGGTTGCATTCTTTTTAAAAAAATATACTTTATTGATTTTTTACAGAGAGGAAGAGATAGGGATAGAAAGTTAGAAACATCGATGAAAGAGAATCATCAATCAGCTGCCCCCTGCATATCCACTACTGGGGATTGTGCCCGCAACCAAGGTACATGCCCTTGACCGGAATCAAACCCGGGACCTTTCAGTCCACAGGCCAATGCTCTATCCATTGAGCCAAACTGGTTTCGGCTCAGGTTGCATTCTTTAAACAAATAAAAGTGTCCTGTTGCCTAGGAAATAACATCATTTCTGTAGATATTCACGTATTTGGCAAAGTGCTAGTCACCGAGGGGATGGGACATTGTAATCATTTCCTACCCAGAAAGATCCCAGGACCAAATTCAAATTTCACCCTTTGGAGGGGGAATGAGATGGGCACAGGTGCCCCCACGTTCTCCCTTAATGAACGCATAACTCGGGCATTGTCTTTTCCTTACCGGCTCCGCACACAAAGACCTTGTTCCCCAGGGTGACTCCAGCTCGCCGGCAGGTATGGATCCCCACAGACAGCGGCTCAATCAGGGCCCCTTCCTCAAAGGTGACATTGTCGGGAAGCCTGGGGAGTCAGTCATTCAACAAACTTTGTTAGTCCCTCTGGGCTGACAATCATTCATTGAGCATTTATTTATGTGCCGGGCAACGTGCTAAGCAATTTATATAAATTCACTCGTGTACGTCCTCAGATTACACATAGCAGGTAGTATTATTCCTTATTTTACAGACAAAGAAACTGAGGCTTGGAGGATTAAATAACTTGCTCTAAACGTTCAAAACTAGTGAGAGGTTCAAAGGATTTGAAATTGAAATCAGATATAAGCTACAGCCCAGCATCTCTTTTTCCCCCCTCAAGCAATCCCGACTATCAGCAGATTTGAAAAACAGTGACTTAGAAGCTGGCGTCACTCTGCTCATTGTCTCCCCATCACCCGTTCCAGAAGAGCCACATCGGAATGGGATGGCGGCAGCTGTCCCGGGCCTGGGTAAGGCAGGGAAAGTGCCTGTCTGCACGCAGCTGGTTAAATGCTGCGTCACCTTCTCTCACCACGGGGTTCTCGGTTTTCACCTCCAAGCCCACTGGTTTCTTGATCCTTTTAACCATCCCACTGAGGATGACAGCAAACATTTGCCTAAGGCTTTACAGGTTAGCTAGCTTTCTCATCCATTATCTCATTTAATCCTCACCATGACCTTGTCAAGTGAGAAAGACAGGCTTTATTTTTTTTACCTTTATTTTACACAAGAGAACACTGAAGCTCCATGACATTAAGGGACTTGCCCAAGGTCAAAATGCTAGCGAGTGGAAAAGCAAGGTTTGAACCCAGGGCTCCTGATTCCACATTCTCTGCCAGTCCCATTATTAGCGGACTCGGGGTACAAACAGCTCTGTAGTTAATATTTAATTTCTGCTAGTTCTTAACCCTCCAGTATTTATTTAGTCAGTGTCCAAAAAAACTCCATATAAAAACCCTCAAGTTAAAAAAATAAAAATAAATTTAAAAAAACACCCCCCCCAAAAAAACAAAACAAAACAAAACAAAACACAAACCCCTCAAGTCCCAGCCCTGGCTGGTGTGGTTCAGTTGGTTGGGCATTGTCCCATGCACAGAAAAGTTGCTAGTTCTATTCTCGATCAGGGCACATGGTCAGGTTGTGGGTTCAATCCCAGTAGTGGGTAAGCAGGAGGCAGCTAATTGACATTGCACTATCACATCAATGCTTCTCTCCCTCTCCTTTCCTCTCTCTGTAAAAATAAGTAAAAAATCTTAAGAAAAGAAAACCCTCAAGTTCCAAAAAGAAATAATAGCCGCAGCCAAACCATGTGCTCATCCCCACGACCTTCTGTCATTGTTTACGATCCCCAAAGAATAAATAGCAAGGCCTGCAGGTGGCCTGGCTGCCACTCACCACCCTTCCTTTCTCTTGCCTCCCCTCTGCTTCTCTCACTTCATTTCCTATCCCACTCCTATCCACCCTCTTGCTCTGAATGTTGTCATCGCCCCTTCTACTCACCCATCAACTCTATATGAAGAAGAAGAAAAAAAAAGAGCTTCAAATGGAATAATGAAAATTCCCAAACTCTCACGGACTGCCGACCACACTCCCTCAGACACACCTGCCTTTCCCATTTTGGCCTTCTCAAAACTTGTATTGGAGCTAAGCTGAGGGTGGCCTTTGGTCAGGAGCTGTGTGCTTCTCCTCTCCTCTTCACTCTGACTTCCCTTTGGAATGAGAACACCGAGGAGAGGGGCTGGGGACAGTGCTAAGAGAGGACTGCTGTCTGGGCGACATCACGCATGTACCCATACCCAGCAGCGTGGAGGCAGAAGCACCAGGCGGAGTCCTGGGGCTCAGCCCCTTTGTCACCGACCTTGAGAGAGTTACCGGGTCATCCTTCCCCAATCTTTCATGACTATAAACACCAGAGAATGACAAGGCAATTGGTGGTTCTCACAATAGGGTTCAAGGAACAGGCAAAGGGTTAAAGAATAATTTAGAAGCCAAGGAGGAAGCAGGAAGATAAGCTGAACAAGGTGGGTAGGAAAATAAAGAGACTGGTAGAGAAACCAGAGAGAAGGGCTTGGGCCCACGGGCTGGGGACACGGCCAGAACTTACCCTGGGAGGAGAGGAGAGGCAGGGGCTGCATATCCCCTGGAAGCCCTCCTCCCTCCGCCAGCCAGAACGTCCTCCCACAGCTTTCCCTACAAAGCACTCCTCACCCCTCCCCAGCCCAAGGCTCTCTTTCAGGCTAACCCCGTCCTAACCCCTGGATTCAAGGCCATGGCTATGACAAGTGATGGCACCATTTATTGAGCAATTCCTTTATGCCAGGACTCATGCTGAGCACTCTATCTGCCTTTCTCATTAAATCCTGTCAATAATTCTATGCATTTTATTGGTTCAATTATCGTCTCCATTTTACAGGCAAGGATATCGGAGTTTACAAAGTTTAAGTAACTTGTTCAAGGTCACGCTGTTGGTAAACGGCAGAGATTAGTGGTTAGTTTCGAGCTTTACCTCTTTGTTCTTCTGCCTTCGACAAGAACGTTGTCTGGCGCCCTGAGTTGGAAAGGGCCCAGGAAAGGTGGTTCTGGAACCACTTGCTGAGAGGTGGACTCTGCCCACAAAGCCTGCTTTTTCTTCTAGAGCAGGTTTGCATGTTGACTTAATTAAACTCGTCGTGAGGTCTCCAGCCTGTGACTCCCCTCAAGGTTTCCAGTGGGCACTTGAAAACTCAGATCTGTCAGACTGCCCTTGTGAGTGGCATCAGGCCTCCACTGGACAAGCCCCATCCTGGCTGACAGAGCCACCGCTGGGGCCGGGCTGGGGCGGGAGGAATCGGAAGGAAAGTGGCACATCAGCACCCCAGAGCTCCACGGGCTGGGGGCCAGGTAGGAGGTACAGCACTCTGCTTCTGCCAGCCAATCACGGCTTCTCACCCCAAAGCCATATTGAATGCTGGGGTCATGCAGTGAGCACAGGGCAGGAGGAGTTCAAGCATCACAGCTTGATTCCTGGTTCTGCTCTGTGCCAAGTCTGTTCGCCTCCTCCTGCCTCTGCTAACCCTTGCAATAGACCGCACAACTGGGCCCTCGCTGGTTTGCCTCAGTGGAGTAGGGGTTTTGAACTCAATCAGAGAAGGGGCCAAAATCTAAAATCCAGCCTAAATCGAGGGCCGAATGGTTTACTGAACAGTCATAAACTGTCATTGTGATGGAAACGCAGCGGAGTGCAGTGATGACAGCGGGTGCGGGCCACATCGCAAGGCCTGGCGGGATGGATTTGGCCCGCGGGCCTTGTGTTTGACACATGTGGGATAGAGCATCAGCCTATGGACCGAAGGGTCTCGAGTTCCTTGGTTGCAGGCTCCTCCCTGGCCAGGGGCCCTGGTTGGGGTGCGAGCAAGAGGCAACCAATGGATGTGTTTCTCTGTCTTTCCCTCTATCTTCCACTCTCTCTGAAAGATCAATGGGAAAATATCCTCGGGTGAGGATTAACAAAAAAAATAAAAATAAATAAATAAACCTGACCAAACATCTGCTGCCACCTTATCACTGCCCTCGCAGAGGTATGATAGGTATGCAAAGCACTTACTAACACTGAGGCACAAGTTAATAATAGTGACTTTATGTGCATTGTTTTATTTAATCACCTAATCAGCAGAGGAAAGTTAAATCATTTCCCCGAAGTTACTCACTAGGCAGGAGTGAATCAGGGCCCCAAAGTCATGTGCCGGCTCCTTGCCAGGCCTCCTCAGTAAGCCCCCTACAAGGCCATTGATGTTAACAGTTCTCCCTCCTGCACCGAAACCGGTTTGGCTCAGTAGATAAAGTATCAGCCTGTGGACTGAAAGGTCCCAGGTTCTGGTCAAGGGCATGTACCTTGGTTTCGGGCACATTCCCAGTAGGGGGTGTGCAGGAGGTAGCTCATCTATGTCTCTAACTCTCTATCCCTCTCTCTTTCTCTCTGTAAAAACTCAATAAAATATATTTTAAAAGAAAAAAAAAAAAAAGTACTCCCTTCTGCAGCCGCAGTGGAAACCAATAACGGAAGATAAACCACAACAAGTTATCACCAGGATGGCTGGGAAGCAGTGAATGACCATTTTCTATTGCTGCTCTGGGTGAGGGAAGGTTAGACTGAGAGGCTAAAACCAAGCACTGAGAGTCAGTCTCAGTGCTAGTCAGGCTGCCCTCCCTCCATGCCCCCAGGAGAGAGGCCCAGCATAGAGATGCCTCCTGCCTGGAATTAAGAGCTAAAAAGAAAAAAGTCACCACGGGAAAGTGGGAGAAAGAACACAAACAAATGAAGGGAGAGAGGTCCCAGGTGGCAAGGCTGGGTTGGGCACTAACTTGTAGCAGAAGCTGGCATTGTGCTTATAGAAGCGGCAGAGGTTCCCATCATCGGGGGGCGTGGCACAGAAGAAGATGGTTGGTGACAGGTTGTACCGGCCAATCTTGCAGAATTCATCAATTTCTCGGGGAGCTCCAGGCTCGATGGCAACACGATCACCTGGAGAGGAAAACAGGAGCAGGCACAGAGGTGCTGTGGGGGGGCAAACCAGCTCCACTTCCTGTCTCACACTGCTGCAAAAGAGGTAGTGTGAGTTTGCAGACATTTTTTTTTCTTGGCCTGTTTTGAAAACGTGGGGCAAGGCCTTTACAAAAGTCGTACAGTCTGGTTGTGTTTAGACAGTAACTAGGAACCAACTGATTCCTGGTTAGCAGAAGCATTAAGGCAAACGGCCCGCAGAGGCCTCCGCCTCAGGCACAGCGGAGAGTGGCACTCAGGCTTGTGAACCGCCCGCTCTATCCTACTTCCTCTCTGTGTCTTCCTGCGTCTTCTTGGAAGCCAAGCATTAGAATTGCTCTTCTCTCTCATTAGGAAAAATTTCAAGCACATAGCGAAGTTGAAAGACCTGCGCAGTGAACACCCAGATATCTTTCACCCAGATTCTTCAATTTACATTGAGCAACATTCACTTTATCACATACCCATCCATCCATCCCATCTATCCATCTTTTCTGGTGCATTTCGAAATAGGATGCAGACATTCGTACACTTCACCTTTAAATACTTCAGCCTGCATAGCATTAACTACGTAGAGTTCAATACTTGTTTATGGCTCTTTCTTAAGATAAAATTTTGATATAGATGAAATGCACAAATGTTAAGTGGACCGCTAGATAAATTTTGATAGATGCATTCACCTGTGTGATGTGAACCCCTGTCAAGATACAGAACGTCACTGTCTTGGACATGCCATTCCTTTGTGTTCCTTCCCAGTCAATCCCCAGTCCCACCCCAAGAGGGGTGCCCTGGTGGTATTAGGACCCTCCTGAGCCTGAACAATGTGTTGTTAGCAGACAGAAGAGCCCTGGAGGTTTGCCTTTTGCTAAGCGGTGATACTTAGGCCATTTCTTCTATCTTTGTGTTAAAAGTACCCAGAGAACAGTGTAGAGTCCATGTATGTAGTTAGTGCTCATTAAAATAGTGTTGGTGGCCAGGCTGGGGTGCTCAGTGGTTGAGCATCAACCTATGAACCAGGAGGCTGAGGTTCGATTCTCAGTCAGGACACATGCCCGGGTTTCAGGCTCGATCCCCAGTGGGGGGGCATGCAAGAGGCAGTCGATCAGTGATTCTCTCTCATCATTGATGTTTCTGTCTGTCTCTCTCTCTCCCCATCTCTGAAACCAATAAAATAATACACTTTTTAAAAAAGAGAGATGGCCTGATTGTATATAAATTAGGAATTCTTCCATGCCTTAGATTTACTGATTCTTTAATATGTATGTTTAAATTTTTAAATAAGTATATCAAGAACTTCTCAATGAGTGATTTTATTCTTTCTAGATTAGTTGATTAGAGCTTTAAATCAAAGTTAGCAAATGAAACAATTAAATAAAAATTTTTATTCTAAAAAAACGGTACCCCCAGCAATCCCTGTGACCACTAAGATGTGATCTACCTATATCTCTCTTCCTTCTATGCCCTCTACTTTCTCTGCTGCCCAATGAAATTTCTGCAGACTATGCTTCTAGCACTGACAATGAATTTTTCAACTTAGTATTCAAGATCTTCCATAATTAGGTGAAGTTTATATTATTCAGTTTTGTTTTGTAATTATTATTATATAATAACAATACAACTCACAGTTGTATGGTGCCTTTTAAAGAGGAACTTTTGTATAGATTATGAAAATTATCATCCCTACTAACTATCCAAGACAGAACCTTTGCTCTGAGTAGCACAGAGATTATTAATAATTGCCTCTGCAATTTTATTATGCTGCTCTTCTTAACTGGAACATTAGCTTCTGATCTCTTTAGAAATTCAAATGCAAAACCTTGCTCAAGTCTCCGCATTCTGGGCATCCCAGTGACTGTACACTTTTTCTAGAGTCAGAAAGACCAAGGCAGGCACCCTAGCTCTAAGACTAACTACTGTATGACCTAGGCAATTACCATGCTTCACTTTCTTCATCTGTTAATGAGGAAAATAATGCCTATCTTGTAGAGTTGTTTAAAGAACAAAGTAAGTAATTTTATGGGTATTTAACATGGAGAATAACAATATTAAATCAATAAATGTTATCTGTCTTCTTATAATTATTATTATGGGTTTTTTTGTTGTTGTTTTTATTTTTTGTTTTTTGTTAATCCTCACCCAAGGATATGCTCCCATTGGTTTTTAGAGAGTGGGAGAGAGAGGGAAAGACAGAGAGAAACATATCAGCTGGTTGTCTCCTGTACCCGCCCCAAACAGGGCCTGGCTCAGGGAGGAACCTGTAGCCAAGGTACGTGCCCTTGACAGGAATCAAACCTGGGGCCCTTTGGTTGCAGGCCAATGCTCTATCCACTGAGCCAAACCAGCTAGGGTTCATAATATTTTTATTAAATGTCTGGCTCAAAGAAAGACCTATCTCCCCCATGAGCTTTCTTGACACAACTGTGTCCATGACAAATGCCCTTTCTTTGAACTTCTAGAGCCCATTCTTTACTGATTTCACCACTTCACCCTATGTCTTGTTCTCTAACTGTTGTTATATGTATATGTGTGTGTATGTATATATATATATATATAGATATATAGATATATAGATATATATTAGATATATATATAACTGTTGTTATATATATATTATATATATATATATATATATATATATATATATATATATATTATATATATATATGTATATCTCGTGATGTCTGGTCTTCCCAGGTAGATCAAAGCATCCAAGGATCTTATCTTCTCCTTTTTCTATAGCCCTCAAAGCACCTGGTACAGGCTGGATCTATTGTGGACACTGACTAAGCACCTGCTATAACTTAAATTTAGAGACGACAACCCCTGCCTCCCTCCTCCTCCCCCCCCCCCCCCCCCCCCCCCCCCCCCACAATTCTTGTTATGACATATATTCATAAGAACCAATCAGTGACTGCTAGAAGCTATGCACCTTGCACACTGGAAGAATCCTGAAAAAATCCAGGGGGTTTCTCAGCTTTACCGATGATGGAGGGCCTGACTTAACTTTCCTGAATGAGACACAAGTCTAGCTTCTTCAGAGCCGGTCTATCTCTCTGCATGTAACTGGGCTCAGAGAGCTTTCTAACTAACATAGGACGGCACCTCTACCAACCTCCTCTTCCTCCAAATAATCTGACAGCATCTCCAGACTATACAGTGGCCTCTTCAAAAAAGGAAGGTTAAAGCCAATAAATAGCTTGGATTTATTTCACTGTGTTGGGGAACATATCATAGTCTACTACAGCCGAGAATTCCTCCCGTTGAGAGCATGAATTAAGCAAATCTAGAAACATACTGGTGGTTTCCTAGCCATCCAATAAAATCAAAGACTGCTCTGCAGGCCCTGGTTCTTAGTTGTGGAGGCATATTGTGGTTCGTGGGCCAGGAACACTTCCCCCACCCTGGTTGGCTTATTTCTGACTTGCCTGATTGGCTTAATTATCCATTTCTCAGATAAGCCAGGGTCTGAGTAAGACACCAATTACACCCTGTGTTCTTCTCTGCTGTCCTCAACACAATTGTAATTAAGTAACTATCTGTGTGTCCCAGCTCTGTCTCCCACTGTGGAAGGTTAAGGAACACGTGTTTCGGGACCAAGGCTGTCTTGTTGACTGTTGCATCCCGGTGTTTAATGGAGAGCCTGACCCTGAGAAAGCATGCACAGACATTGATGTTGAATGAATAAATTGATCCATTAGCTGAAGGGCTTTGCTCACCTGGTTGTAGGTGCCTTACCGATGACCCCACTTTTACGACTGTTCCTGAAGCTTCATGACCCAGAACCATTGGCTTTGTCACAATAAAGTCCCCAATTCGACCATGCTGCCAGTAGTGGACATCTGAGCCGCAGATTCCAACAGAATGCATCTTCAGCAGCACCTCTGATAAGAAAAAGGAGAAGGAGAAAGCAAGTGAGGGAGGGAACAACCCTTCTATCACCCTGAGGCACCCTGGCGATTCTCCAGATCAGTGTTTCCCAAAGTGCGGTACGCGTACCCCCAGGGGTACGGGAAGAGTTTGGTGGGGATATACACTGCACTGTGCTTAGCTGCGCCTAATTCTACGTTCTCATGAGTACAAGGGGTACTCAGCATTACGAAAATTATAGAAGGGGTACACAGATGTCAAAAGTTTGGGAAACACTGCTCTAGATGAAGGAGAGAGCTTGGCTTCAAAGGCCAGGTACAAAATTTAGGCCACAGAGGAGGGCAAGCTTAATAGCAACCCAGATTGAGTCTTGCAAGACAAGGAAGCTTCCACAGAGTGAAATAACTGCATGAGGGTTAACTCTATGTGTCAAGTTAGCTAGGCTATGGTGCCCAGTTGTTGGGTCAATCACTAGATGTTGCTGTAAAGGTATTTTTCAGACGTGATCAATATTTAAGATATGGAAACAACCTAAGTGTCCATCAATGGGCAAATGGATAAAGAAAATGTAGTACATTTACATAATAGACTATTATTCAGCCATATAGAAGGACATGTTGCCATTTGCGACAACATGGATGGATCGTCAGGGCGTTATGCTAAGTGAAGTAAGTCAGACAGAAAAAGGCAAATATCAAATGATCTCACTAATATGATATTGTAGAATTAAAAACAAAACAAAACAGAAACAACAAGAAGAAAGAAAACAAGCTCACAGATACACAGAACAGATTGGTGGTTGCCAGAGGCGGGGGGTGGAGGTGGGTGGGGGAATAGATGAAATGGGTGAAGAAAGTCAAAAGGCACAAATTTTCAGTTGTGAAATAAGTCATGAGGATCTAATGTACGGCACAGCAACTGCAATTAATAATCCAGTGTTATCTGAAAGATGCCAAGAGATTACATCATAAAAGTTTTCATCATAAGAAAAAACTGTAACTACATGAAGTGATGAATGTTAACTAGACATTGTGATCACTTCACAATAGACCCAAATACTGAATCATTATGTTGATCACCCAAAACTAACATAATGTTGTATATCAATTAGACCTCAACTTTAAAAAACAAATACTCAAATCATTAGACTTTGGGTAAAGCAGACTACTCTCCATAATGTGGATATGCCTCATTCAATCCGTTGAAGTCCTTAAAACGAAAAGACAAGATTGAGGTTTTCTGAAGCTCAAGACTGACATTTTACCTGAATTTCCAGTTTGCTGGTCAGCCCTATAAACTTCTGATTTTCCAGCTCCAATAATCATGTGAGCCGATTCTTTAAAAAAGATCTTCCCCCTGCCCTCTGTATACATATATAATAAATCTATGTAACAAACCTCTCTCAGTTCAGTTTCTCGGGAGAACGTCAATACACTGCATAATTGAGATATTATTAGGAGGAAGAAATTCATTAATCATATGAGAGAAAAAAAAACTGTTTTCTAGGACATAACTGTTACGAGACAATTAATAGACTGGGCCTCTCACGAAAGGGAGGCTGGCAGAATCTAGGCGTGGCAACACTTCAGGAGCTGCCAAGCCATGTTTTCACGCCTGTTGTTTTGTTAACAGCAGGTAGTGTTAATTTAAGCCACTCAAATATTTCAACTGGCGTTTCAGCCTTCACAGGTTTGACCATAGTGAGATTTGGTGGTATTGTTGTTGTCCGTTTTCCAAGTTTAAAATAACGATGCTACTGCGCCCCTTTGCTAAAACAACTCCTAAAGGATTACTGGTTTAGTCTGAGATGACCATGTTACAAGTATCTCCCTGAGAAAAACAAAGAGACCCAAAGCTGCGCTGTGTACCCAGGTGTCTCACGCTGTCCTTGCCACCCACCTAGGGTGACCCACCAGGTGTGACCTTGTAGAACTTTCGCCACTTTTAGTTTGGGTGAACATAGTAAGAAATGGCGGGGTGAATTCTGAAATCTAAGGAAGGGAAAAGTCATTTGAGTTAGGAAAATTATCTCAGAATTTCCTCTCTTTAAGTTACCAACTTGTAATAAGAGGTTAAATTGGACTTGCTAGCCTGGCTGGCTGGTGTGGCTGGTGGTTAAGCATCAATCCATGAACCAGGAGGTTACGTTTGATTCCCAATCAGGGCTCAATCCACAGTAGAGGTGTGCAGGAGGCAGCCAATCAATGATTCTCATCATTAATGTTTCTATCTCTCTCTTCCTCTCTCTCTCAAACCAATAAAAACATTTTTTTAAAAAACTGACTTGCTAGAACTCTAGGTGAAATGTACCACTGATTTACTTTCCAATTCAAGGATAGCAAAAGGCAAGAAAGTGAGAGCAGAATGCTGCCTCCAGGAGAAAAGCAGTCCCAGGATCCTTTGAGTCAAAGGCAGCCCTTGTTTGGCCACCTCTAGAATCAACACCAACTTTTCAGGACACAGCGAGTTGTCTCTTTCACTCCTCTAACACTGATATCTTGGAGAAAACACCTAAGTCCTAAATATACATTACTTGCTAAATACTGCTAGAAATGGCTCTTGTCTGTAAACCAATAACCTAACTGACCTTTAAAGAGCAAAGTTCTAGGAACGCCAGGAAAGCTTCCTTCAATCTGATGCTCTCCCAGAAGCTACAGGTGTGGGGTAAGGTGGGACAGCATAACCCATCAAGGACAGGAAGGGGACCTGACCGGCTGGATGTGAGATAAGCTATCTGCAGACGCCCTGTGCCTTGCTCTCAGCCTTACTGGCAGATCACGAAATGGAAACTCCAGGGACGGGAGGGATTGAAAAACTGTCAACAGGGATCTACCTTAGTCAATAGGGTGGCATGCCTTGCCCAGGTAGACACCACCCAGGAAACATGTGTCATCTCGGTCACTGGCTGGCACAGTGAGAGGCTAGCTAGAGTGAAACAGAGCTGGTGGAACCCTGCCCCAGCGTGCACACCCACTTGTGGCACCCGGATGGTTAAGGGCAGTGGGGCAGGGTTCCATGCAGCCCCTCCCATCCCCAATGGACAGATCCTGGCCTTCCTGGCAGGATACTCCCTTTTCTGACCAAAACATTAAGTTCTGCAGTCTCACTCCTTTTCAACATTTGGATTCAGCCACCCAAATAGTGGCTTATCCCAAAGTCAAAAGAACAATTCTGCTTTTGGTCCATGTGTTACGCCCAACACTCTTTGGGACAAGCCAGCAGTCTGACATGGTAGCTCTTCTTATTCTATCACTGTCTGTTTTATTGCATCGGCCAAGTGGCGTGTATCCAGTCATGCTGTGGACGGTGGAGGAGGTGGAGCCTAACAAGAGCATAGCTTTAAATAGAGGCAAAACTGTCAATTGTAGCAGGAGAGGGTGAGGAAGCAATGCCCATGTGTCTCCAGGGGAAATAAGAAGATATGTTGAATATCCCAAGGACCTACCATTTGGGCCTGGCTCAGGAACAGGATAGTTCTCCTAAAGAAAAGAAAACAGAAAAACCAGTTAGCATGCATAATAAATTTACCTTATGAACATTCTCATTAAAAAAAAAAAAAAATTTAAATTGGAGTTTCATTCAAATGTTCCTTTTTGGAGTTAACGCAGGCTCAGGCCAGACTGTTGCTGGGTAGCTGCCAGGGGGCTACACGGAATAGCGCTGCCCTCACATCACTCAGCGCTGGCTTGCCTGGGACTCAAAGAAGAGCATACTGTGTGCGTCCCCAGGTGAAAGGATGTTTGGGCTGCCACCTACAGCTGCATTCCTTATCACATCCTTCTCTCCTGAAAACACACAGATACAGATTTGTTTGGCCTGGCTAACTTGGGCAGGGAAAGTTTGAAGGCGTTTCTAGCTGCTACATGAGAGCAGCTCCCAGAATGAAAAAGTGTGTGGCTGCTCTTTTCCCTGTACACAGGGCCCAGACCAACACGTGGCCCAGAGTGTGAGAGGTCCTTGGGAAAACATGGGACCTGTTCACAGATTCAAAAAGCAATCTGAATTTTTCTGTGTTCACGGCTATTATTTATTTCTTTTAGAGAAAGGAAGGGAAAAAGAGAAAAACTGATTTGTTGTCCCATTTATGTATGTATTTATTAACCAATAAATCCTTGTATGTGTCCTGACTGGAGATCAAATCCACAAACTTGGCAGATTGGGACGATGCTTCAACCAACTGAGCCGCCCACCTTGGATACAGCTATTATTATTATTATTATTATTTTCCCTCAATGTCAACTGGCTAGGAAATTCCTAGTGATGAGGAAGGACAGCGAGTGGGCAAGTCCAAGTGGTTATTTTATTAACTAGAGGCCCAATACATGAAATTCGTGCAAGGGTAGGCCTCCGAGGCCCCGTCCCCTACCCACTGGTCATTCCGGAAGGTTGTTCTGCCATCCGTGTAGTTAACATATTAGCTCTTTCTGCCGAGACCGGTTTGGCTCAATGGATAGAGCGTCGGCTTGGGGAACTGAAGGGTCCCGGGTTCGATTCTGGTCAGGGGCATGTACCTTGGTTGTGGGCATATCCCCGGTGGGGGGTGTGCAAGAGGCAGCTGATCGATGACTCTCTCTCGTCGATGTTTCTAACTCTGTCTCTCTCCCTTCCTCTCTGTGCAAAATCAATAGAATATATTGAAAAAAGAAAAGAAAGAAAAAAAAAAAAGAAGAAAAATCCTAAGAACTGAAATTTGGTTTAGGTAATGCGAAATAAAAATTTAAAAAAAAAACAAAACAAAAAACAAAACAAAAAAAACATATTAGCTCTTTCTTATAAAGGAGTCTTTGAATGCAGCCTAAAAGAGGAAGAAGGGATATGAAATGTTCACAGCACCTACTATGTGCCAGACAGTGTTCTGGGCTTTACACACATCATGGCACATGGTCCTCACCAAAGCCCATCTCATTTGCAGATGAGAAACCTGAGGCTGGGAAGTTCAATAACTCAGTCAAAACCATACTGCCGGAGCGGACAGGTTAGGGCTAGCCCCAGGTGTGTCTGATTCCCAAGCTGCTTCAGTGCATCCCACTGCACCCCAGGGTGAAATACGCCTTTTCTCCTTCAGGGGTGGTGGTGCAAGGAGCCATCTATTGGGTGATGAGATGGGCACTGGGCCACACGCAGAGCACTCTGGGAGGGACACTACTCAAAGCTTTCCTGCTGAAAGCTTCCCCAGGATGCTTTTATAGGCAGCAATACACAACATGGGGTTTATTTAGCTAACAAGATGATATCCTTAATGCCAAAGACAGTGCCTTCAGTCTCTTCGGAACCAGTTAGTGTTCTGCCCCAAACCTGGTTTCTTATACTGGTTACATATCTATTCTCTGTAACGGTGTTTCCATGGGAGGTCCGAGGTTCTCGCTCATCTCAGATTACCAGCCCTTTCTGTTGAAGTAGCTCAGTGCTAATTTGAACTCCTTGCCTCCAGGGAAACAAAGTCCCAAGTGATCATGCTAATGCTGACCAACTGCTTTGTATCAGGCTCTGTGCTAAGTGCTGTACACGTATCACCTTGTATAACCATCAGGACAGCCTGTGTGGTACCTTCTGTTATTATCTCATTTTCCATATGCTGAGACTGAGAAGGGTGAGATTTAGCAAACTGCCCATGGGAACGCTAAGGTAGTAACTGGTGGGGCTGCATCCAAAGCAGCCTGATGTGGGCAGAGGGGCTCAAGGCAGTTTTTCATCTCCTAATAATTTAAACTGGCTACATCTGCAAGGAAGGAAGACAGATGTGAGGGAGGGAGGGAGGGAGAGAGGGAGGAAAGGAGGGTAAGAAGGGGATAGAGAATCCATTTAGAAATGGGCAACTCAGGATAGCGATCACCAAAATCTTTTTCAAAGAATTTGCTGGTCCCACACCTGATATTACACAACACCAGGGACTGCTGTATAGCTGTTTCTGTGATACGGAGTGAAATTTTAAACCGTAGGTTAAAACAAGCTTTTATTTCAAACGTGGAAATGCATCCTATTCTGCCCCCTAAAGGCACTAGTAGGCAACTTCTCAGGCCCAGAGAAAATTCCTCAGCCACACTCCTAGTAGCTTGCCTCCAGCCAGGCTAGACCTGAACACCCATTTGAGCGTGGAGGGGGGCAGGGGGGGGGGCGGGGTAAGATTCCAGCAATTGTTGGGCACACGGAGCAGGCCCTAAGTGTCACTAGACACCACTATTGTAAATATTGACTGCTACAGACCAGCTTTGACCTTCCCAGAGGAGCAAGGCTGAGTGACCTTCCCAGACACTAGGGGGTGCTGCGCCAATAGCCTGGATTTTCCTTCTCAGCAGAACACACTTTCTGGAGACAAGGCGATTATTATTCTTTAAATATATTTTCCATATCCCTGTGGGAACATGGAATCATCTCAGGTGCCTCTAGCATCCTAAATGTTATCTTACCTTCCCTAAATATATTTTCTCAAATTAGCCTAAATATGTTCTTAAATATATTTTTTCTTGATTTCAGAAATGAAGGGAGATTCAGACATCAACAATGAGAAAGAATCATTGATTGGCTGCCTCTTCCACATCCCACACTGGGAATTGAGCCCGCCACCCTGGCATGTGCCCTGACAGGGAATCAAATCATGACCTCCTGGTTCATAAGTTGATGCTCAACCACTGAACCATGTCAGTTGGGCTTTGAGAATTTAAATACCTTTCCCCATAAACCAACTTTCCTTTTATGCCCTTTTCTTGATGACTCTCATCACCCTTACAACTCAGCTTGGCTCCTGACTCCCCTCTCAGCAGGAGACATGCCACCTGAGCACAAGACCATGCTAAAGACCTGCCCATAAGTCGGTAAGTATCATCCCAAGCCTAGCTGTGGAGCTCGGTGTATTAGAAAGTTATCACAGCATGGTCACTAACAAAACCTTGCTTTTTGGTCATGGTTCCTTGCTTTTTGTTGGTGATGTTGGCTACAATCCTGTTTACTCAATCTCCTTTTCTTTTCTCAGGATTTAATGGTGATATTCTCTCATTTGTCCTGTTTCTCATTTATCAAAGTTCCTTAGTTCCTCTGATATCTGGAACTTTAACTCTTATTCCCACGGCCCAATCAGGCACAGTCAAGGTTTCCTAAACCCAATTTCTTACCTGTGAGTGATAGTAACAAGGAGATGAACTGAGTAACTAACTGTTCTTTATTGTAGTTATGTCAGTTTTTCAGCATTTTTTCACTTTTAGTCATGGTTTACATACATATTCTCCCTTCTATCCCCTTGAGGTCTTCCCATTTACTCCACCCCCACCCTCACCCCCATCCACCCACCACCACTACCACCACCACCACCAATACCTGAATAAATCATGGAAATATTGTGGGAACATGGAATCATCTCAGGTGCCTCTAGCATCCTAAATGTTATCTTGCCTTCCCTAAATACATTTTCTCAAATTAGCCTAAATATGTTTCCAGATATATATTTTTTTGTTTTTTGTTTTAAATATATTTTATTGATTTTGTACAGAGAGGAAGGGAGAGAGACAGAGTTAGAAACATCGATGAGAGAGTCATCAGTCAGCTGCCTCTTGCACACCCCCTACTGGGGACATGCCCGCAACCAAGGTACGTGCCCTTGACCAGAATAGAACCCGGGACCTTTCAGTCCCCAAGCCGACGCTCTATTCATTGAGCCAAACCGGTTTCAGCCTCAAGATATATTTTAATAGTCCCCTTTCCTCTGCTTCCACCTGCGCATCTGAGTTCACACCCTCAGTATAGTATTTTGCATGGCTTGTAGCACTGGCCTCCACATGAGAAGAAATCGGAGGAAGATGCCAACCTGAGTGGCGCAGTGCAGGCCCTCGAGCCGCCTGTCCATGTTCAAACCCAGGCTCCCTGCCACCAGCTGTGACCTCAGGGTCATTACATAACCTCTTCATGCCCTCACTTTCATCCTCTGTTTAATTAAGATAATCATAAAAGGGTACCCTTTTATGATTATCTTAATTAAACAGAGGATGAAAGTGAGGGCACTAAGAGTAAATAAGATAGCTTATTACAAAAGAACGAAAATCAAAGTTCTTTTCCTATAATTAGCTCCCAGTATGGTTGAACCAGCTATGGACAACCTTCCTTGTCCTTTTCCTTTTGAAAGGGTAAAGATGTTGTTTTGGAGGAAAGTTGTATTTCACTTGTTTTCTTTCTTTTTTTGTTTTTGTATTTTGTTTGTTTTATTTATTAAAAAAAAATTTTTTTTATTGATTTCAGAAAGGGAGAGGGAATGATAGAAACATCAATGATGAGGAAGAATCATTGACCAGAGAAGGCCCCCACTGGGGGGTCGAGCCCACAACCAGGGCATGTGCCTCGACCAGAAATTAAACCACGATCTCCTGGATCATAGGTCTGCGCACACTGAGCCATGCCTAGTTGGACTGTATTTCCCTTGATTCCATGTCATGACTAGAGAACTTGACTGCTCCTTTCAAGGCTGGGATAGGGATATGAGGCAAGATGCCAG